TGAGCTCATCTGTTATTATTTTATTTGACAAATTCAGCCTTAGCTATGATTTGCAAAGATTTGTTAACCTGCTCACTACTAATCCCGACCTGTTGTCTATCAATTTTTGGAATTTATTATTTGTAGCTTTTTGGGGTCTTTTGGTGTTTCACTTGCTTAGTTCTTTGCTCGCTAGAGTTCTGTATCCTTTGTTCAACTGCAAAATATAGTAGTTAGCTTTCAGGAAAAAAGAAAACTAATGTAAATTTTAGAATTACTAGGCACTTGATTGTTCTTGTTTTCTCCTGTTGATCACCATTGACATTCTTTTATTTGGGCGATATCCAGGAATTAAATACTGCAGAGGATTTTATTTCGTTTTATGAGGAAATGATGCCATTTGTCCAGACATTGCCCTTGGTTCTACTGCACAAGGAATTGATATTTTCAAAACTCCAGTCTAGATTACAGATGAAGGCAAGACTATCGCTAGAGCCTATTCTCAGGTATGCCAGTCTATGCCTCATTGATTTTTTGTTTAAGCTTTTACTGAGAAGAACTCTTGTTGAAACTATTTCATATTTTCACGGTCTGTTTAACCCTGACAGTATGCATGAGTTATCACTGTCATATAAGTTGGCTTTTGAATCAGGATCTCTTTAACTCCTGTTCTTTACCATTTTCAAATAAAAAGTATCTATCGAGTCTGGAGATTGTTTTGGTTGGATATGGGCTTCCATACCCTTACTTATATCAATATTTTAGACTGAAAGCAAGATACTTCACTTGGTAAAAGAACAGACATTTGTACATGCATGAAATCCCTTCTAACATAAATAGGAAGCAACCCTTGCCAGGATAAGACATAATGAACTATGACCATACACAAATCAGCTATTTAGTTTGGAAGATGATTCTCGTGGCAGTTTTCCAGAATGCTCTCTGCTTGATGATAAATGGAGCAATTTCATCAGTTAACAGGAAAACTGGAAATATTATTGTTAAATGCCATTTATGAAACTCAGTTGTAATTGGTTACTTGTCTTTTTTTTTGAAATATAATTGGTTACTTGTCTTCAATGGCCCAATGAAACCTAAAACGATGAAATAAGCTTATCCTGCTTAACTGCCTCTTGGACGAGGTTAAGAGGGCACTGTATTGTGATACCTATGCAGTTCAAATGATAGACTTTAATCTTATGGAATATGCATATTGGTGTATTCGTAGCTTATTCTACCTCTTGAAATTGAATGCATTTTTGCAGGCTGATGGCTGCTTTTTCTAGAGATCTTCTGGAGGACTTTACACCGTGAGTTTTTTCTGTACTGACTTTCTGTGTGACTCAGTCTATTGACCATTCTCCTATTCATCTGCCCTTTTTATTATTCAGGTTGACTTTCTTTGGACATGCTTTTAGAAGTATTTGCTTTGGGGTGGATTGGTTGGTTTTTGCTCATTGCTTGATCATTTCTGTGCGAGATGATTATGTTTGTGTGTGTTTGTGTTTGCATGGGTGCATATGCATGACTTTATCTGGATCTTTGCAGTGATAAATTGTTTCAGTTCGCGGTACATGTTTCAAAGTGATGGTTGAACACTGCTTTTAGCCTTAAAACTACAGGAATGTTATCCTGAAATCCTAAAACATGGACCCCATTTGAGGAAGGAAATCTAAACATAAAGTTAGACTAAATAGGAGTAAAAGTTCATTTTGTAATTTTCTAGTTTTATTTCCTAAAGATTAGGTATATATGGGCAGTGAATTTATTGCATTTATATGCATAAATACATTCCTAATTATATTGATATATATTTTTGCATTCAGGAAGGCTTTTAATTTTCCTAACATTGTTTTTGGTAGAGAAAAAGGATTGATATTATAGACAGGCATGAAAAGTGGTGCAATCCATATATAGGAGAGGCTTAACATATTGGGAAGAGAAAGAATATCTAAGGTTTCCCCAAATCCTTACCATTGTTGAGAAAGTGAACATTAAAACATCAACAAAATAATCAGGGTTTAGAACTAATGATCTCTATTGTTAGCATAGAGAGAAAGAGAGCCATCAAAATCCTTTGTTCTTTCTTTCCAAATTACCCAGATGGTAGCCATAGGAATAATAGACATAAGCTTTCATGATATAACCTTTTGGAAACTAATCTTCCAATTTTATCCTCCTGGGCCTTTTGTTTTTAATTTTGCACATTGTTTGTTGTTTGTTCTGCTCATTTCTTATGTATCTTGGTTGCAATCAGTTTTTTGCCTAGGCTTGTGGCTACAATAGTGACGCTTCTCAACAGTGGAGGTGATAAAGAGCCAGAGATTGTTGAGCAGGTCTAACTATTAAATTTGCAGAAAAAAATGAAAAAGCTTAAACTATTGATATTCTCTCTCTTTTTCAGTCCCTCTAAATCTGGCTTGACGGCATACATATTTGCAAATTCTAATTTTAGATATGTGGCTCTTCTGGCAGATTTTCATGTCATTATCATATACCATGATGTATCTACAGAAGTATCTCATGCAGGACATTGTATATGTACTCAAGTAAGTTCTGTTTTGATGTTCTTTGAATTCTGAGAAGATGTACAGGCTCTAAGTGTTTGTCTAACTTATGCGTCTTTTAGGTTTGCACTGGGATAGACATTACCTTGGTTGATTTTGCGATGTAGAGAATAACATTCATGAAAAGATTTTCATATGAACTAAGTTCTAGAAAACCATATCTCAGTTCCAAGTGGGGAAAGAGGAACTTTTCTCGCTTTTTTATTTCATGGTTTTACATTTCTTATTTGTTGAAGGTTTTTCCTCTGCTTAAGTGGTTTTTGGGGAAAGAATTTTAACTATTGAGACATGAAGAAGTAAGAAAACAAGTTCATTTACTGTATTTTGTTTTAACATGTGGATGAAGAATCTCTTACCATGTGTTGAAGGTGAGGCTTAGAGAGAAAAATTATGAGAACAAGAACTAATTGTATCTAGTAGCTCTGAAATTATAAATTATAACATTAGGTAATACTAGTTTTTGTGCGTGCTATGTTCTCTTCGGCTTATATATATTTTAAATATGCATGTATTATACTTTATTAATTTAAATATATTATTTAATTTGACTATTATTACAAAAATATTAATTGTAATTTTTTTTTTGGTGCTAATGGTAAGTAATATAATTGTGCATGCATATTTATGAGGATTTTGGGACCTGATTGATATTTAACTTATTTGTTATGTATACAGGTTGCACTCCGTTAGTTCCAGTTAATAGTATACTTTTTTTTTTTTTGGAAAAAAATTATGAGTACAATTGTGGCATGCATTACATTATGGACGCCAACATGTTTCTTTATTATAATTATTAAATAAAAACTTTAAATTATTTTTTGTAAAAATTATAAATACACATGACATTTATCTAATAAATGGGTACGGTATTCTAATAATACAATAGAATATTTATGTAACTATTTATTTTGAAAATAAAATAAAACTTAGTTATTAATTTAATTATAAAAATAAACTTTACTTGCTTGATATTATATGTTGATTAATAAATTACAATATATCTACTACCTGTGAATGTAAGACACATATTTAATGCATAAGAGATAAACTTATGATAAAAAAAGAAAAAGAAAAAGAATTATAAGTATAATATCTAAAACTTATTTTTATATATAAAATATTTGTGATAAGAGGGCGCATCATGAGTCTTTTAATACTCCATCAAATATCCCGAATCTTTTTTTAGCTGTAGATTAGAACTTGTCACTATTTCATGGTTCATTGAGTTCCATAAGTATTACATGATCATTAAGTCTACTTTATTCCATGCATCAAATCTCGGATTTCCTTTTATCTTGTTCCTAGAAGATGATTAGGTTCCTTTTCCTTTCAAATAGTTTCAAATAAATTGAGACAACTTAAAATAACATTTTCCATTCAATTGATATAATCTTTGAATATGTTATGTTATTGATTGGTTGAAGAGAACTTCTCCGGTTTGGTAAGTGATGTTAGAAGATGGCTTCATCTTTGTCATTTCTGACATCTTCTCTAGAATGGTAACTTCTGGTCTCCACTTGTTAGAATTTGGCAACAGAGAGGTCTGATAATATACCTTTGTTTTTGCGAGCTCATGGTGCCTTCTAATGGATTGCTATTTTCTACTGCATGCGTTTTAGCAATAATAATTATTTACATAGACACTTTCGTACATCACAACGTAACTCTGAACAACTTTACTTGTTCTTTCTTTTTGGCAGAGTTACACAAAAATTAAGATATTACCCAAAAGATTACGTCCAAGAGTTTATGGCAGAGGCAGTATCATTCTTGCTAAGAAATGCACCTGACGAACTGTTTACAAAATGTACTAAGAATGTTTCGATGATTTGAATGAGTAATTTTGTTCTTTTATTTTCCGAGAACAATTTGATTATGCTACACAAATCTGAAGATCTTTAGAGCATAATATACATTGTTGTGAACTGAAATGTAATAGGTGTGAAGAAGATCATGCTTGAAGTTGTGAAGAAACCACTTGTTAGGATAAAATCTGGAGTAACTGCTTTGCTTTTTTACATTATGCGGGGAATCTCAATGACACTACATTCAAAAGCAGGAAGAGCTTTTAAATTAGTGATGGGAGATTCAATATTTGTTATTGGTGATAAATTAAAAAGAGGTAAGATTTTCTTTGTAACATCTGAATACATATTTTTCTTGTATGTGTATCTCATGCATATATTTAATGTTGTTATTTTTTAGTGTTTAACAGTTTGTAAACCATTATACAATGAAATTGATTGGGGGGAGGAGGGAGATGGTCCAATTAATTAATATGTAGAGAGTTATATTTTCTTTTTGAGAGAAAAAAAGGGGAAAAAACATTGAAAGAGCGCCAAGGCAGTGCTGCTGATGCATAACTGAAGGTTCTAGAGTGAATATATTTCAATAATGAATTGTAATGTTTATGTTTTCTTGAGGTATTAGCAACTAGTATATAATATGGAATAAGTTTACTATTACCTATTTGATTAGGGTGCTTATTAGTCATTTTTTTTGTTGCGCTATCTCAAAAAAAAAATTAGTTATTTTTTTTTTTATTGTGGGTTAATCAATAATTTAACTTATTTTCTTATTTTTTAGCTTTTCTGTGTTGATTTTATTTTAGTGCATATAAATAAGATACTCTAACTTAATTATCAAGTAGACTATTTATTATTATTATTCACATATTTAGATATTGATTAGATTATCGAGGTCTGTCTCTAAATTTAATTCTTAATAAAATTTTTCTAAGTTCTGTGCTCAAACTCTCTGTCATATATCAGTTGGTATCAAAGCATAAACTCGGTTCATCAAGCCACCTTAGTTTATTTGTTCCTACTTTACAGAACACAATCCTACTACTGCTGAAAAAAAGAAAAACCAAATGTAACCGATTAGCATCCTAATTAAATAGGCAATAATAGATTTATTTCATATTATATTTAGTTCCTATATGACCTAAATGCCTTTAATAAGAAATAAAAATAACCAAATTCTTCTTTTATAATAAGATATGTTTATGCTATCATTATTTTTATTTCTTTTATAATTAAATAAACTAAGGTGGCTTGTTCACCCAAATTCTGCCTCCCTTTACATTATAAATTGGCAAAATTTTTTTCCATGCGGCTTTCAAGAAGATAAAAACCAATCCTAAGAGCAGTATTTGTTTTCTAAATATGCTTACAAATCAGCCTATTTCAACAATCAAACTGGATTAGAGTACACTCCAAAGTTTGAAGGAAGGGCACCAACTGTCAATTTTGTGATCATTTAGTTTGCAAATAAGGGGAACTGTCCATCCAATCCTGCCACTATACTCCACAAAACAATCTTGCATCTTAACCTCCTGACACCTTGCAACTAAGAGATAGAGGAAAAAGAGTCTTTTAGCAACCTATAACCACCGAGCATGAAGCCATAATCTAATGGCCCGTTGCGTCAGCAACCTTAAACTAAGTATCTTGAAGAAAGATGTCCTAGTTCCTACCGATACATCTCCACAAATTATGACCAAGACAACTTGTGCCCACCTTAGAGGGCCAATTATCCAGATGCAAACCAAATTTGGCTCTAAGGAAGTCTCACCACAAGGCATCCTTACCAATAATGACCAAATAAAAAGACAAGGATATAACAGTAGTTCATTGTTATTTACTTTTATCAAGGATATCAAATCTCTCAGTATCAATTGTAACAACTTTTTCCCACTTTAGTAATGTTTCTTCTTTTATAAAAATAAGAAATATATAGGAAAGAAGGAAAGTTGTTACAAGTAAGACTGAAAGGATAAGTATCATCCAGCCGATCTAACACAGAAACGTGGACTAGGCTAGTTAAGTTGTTTGGCCTAAATTCGGTTAACTCTCCTTTTTTATTCTTTTTTGAAAATAAAAAATTCGGTTTTCTCTCATAGTGGAGAGGATCCTGTGTTGGATTATTCGGGGGTCAGGGGTGAAGAAAGTTGCTAAATCCTCATGGAGAGGGGTACTATTTGCATCATTGTGGAGTATATGGCTTGCCCCAAACCATCCGATATTTATATCGGCCCACCTCATCCCACAGATGGTAGGAAAGGGCAATATTCCTGGTTACTCTATGGGCTCAAGCACAGAGTCGTTACCCACCACCAGTATCTCTGTGCTCCATCAAGATTGGATGTGTTCATCTCTAGCACATAGGATTTTAACATCATGAGCTTTAGCTCATTGATGTTTTCTATTAAGTGGAGGGTGCCTTACACATTGCAGACCAATATGTTTGTCATGGTGCTTTTGCTGAATATTTATTTTCTTTAGAAAAAGTGAAATCTCAACAAAATTCGTCAATACCCTAATAATCCGGGTTCATAGCCATAGAAGCTTTCTATTTGGGATGTTGACCACCATATGAGAGCGAAAAGAAATGGTTTATTTTTTTTTGAAATAAAAAGTGTAAACTGTATATTAACTAGGTACCAAAAACGGGGATACCGCTCATGTATAAAAAATTTACAATAGTATTAGTGTATCAATGATATTTTCAAAATTTACATCACTAATAATGTCATGCGCTAACAATATAGGCTCAAAATAATGTATCCATCTATCTTTTAATCTACTAATGCTACTTGCCTCACTGTCAAATGCTCTAATATTCATTTCTTTCCAAATGACCCACAAAACTGTCAAAGGGATCAATATTAGCTAACTTATTTTTTACAATTAAATACCCAAGCCCAAATCTCTCGCCCCATCGAACCCACAATGACCCAATCAATACCCAAAAGACCGTACACATAAGTCCACAAGCAGTAAGCAATAGGGCACCACAATAGTAGGTGATTACATGTTTCTTCTGCCTTCAAACAGCAATAGCAACTGTTCCCCAAGATGCAACCCTTAATTTTCAACTTATCAATAGTTAAAATCTTCTCCCTGCAATTTGGCCATAATTTTGTTTCTTTTGACGATTTTGGTTCTATTGTAAATATTCTTACGTATCTGTAAATCCTTTTCTGTACATGGGATATGCCACCTTGGCGTCTCTTTAATATTATTGCTTACTTTTATCTTAAAAACAAAAAAAATCTTCTCCTAGCAAGTCTCCCAAGTGAAGAAAACAAAATGGGGGGGAACCTTGGTATTCCAAATTTGTTTTGCCGGAAATATACTTCTGCCCGCTTCACTCTTCATACACAAAAATTGATAATAAGAAGAAACAGAAAATGAGCCATTTTTTTTCCAAATTCCACAGAAGCAGATCATCACCACTAGAAATATTTTGTTCTGCAAGAAGCTGCAGCAAGCCTCCATATTCCCCCAACTCCCAATCATTCAAATTCCTATTAACATTAATGGATCAAACTACATTCCCATCCGAGAGCTGGTATGCCTCTCTACAGCCAAATTCTTGTTTTCAGTGATACTGAAAATTTTAGGAAATCTTCCCTTTAAGCTGCCATTACCCACCCAGTTGTATTCCCAAAAATCAGTCTTGTTCCTCTACCTAACTTTCACTTAGTACATTGCAGAAAACAAGATCTATGCATGAGTATTTTCTCCATAACCCTCTCCCATGGGGAATAGAGATGCGGCAACTCCCATTAGAATTCATAATCATACCCCACCGAGAATCAACGACCCTTCGTCATAAACTATTTTCTTCCCTCGAATACCTCCATAACCATTTGCCATGAAGCACCTCATTCATTTTTACCAAAGATCTAATGCTAAGCCCCCAAATGTGATTGGTTCTTTTAAGGCTTCCCAATTTACAAGGTGAAATTTACGATTATCATCAACATCTCCCCATAAAAATCTGTACTGAATTGCTTCCAATTTTTTAGCCACCTTCACCGGAATGGTTAAGGTAGATAGGTAATATAATGAAAGGTTTGCAAGAGTGCTTTTAATTAGGGTATATCTTAACCCCTTTTGAAAGAAAATTTCTCTTCCACCCACTAGTCTTTTCTCAAATAAATCAATAATCAGTTCCCATATAATTTGATCCTTGTATTTTGCCCCCAACGGAAGCCCAAGATATTTGAAGGGGAATTTGACATCCTTACACCCTAAAATCGAAGCATATGAATCATCTCTACTCCCCACCAGCACACCCTTCAACAAATTAAGGTCTTTTGCTCTCCAAGTAGTTCGTTAAAGCCTTCCATTGCCATAATAAACAATAGGGGTGGGATAGGGGATCCCCTTACCTTAACCCTCTCGAGGCATTAAAAAATTTGGAGCGGGCCCCATTAACCAAAAACAGCGAAAGAAATAGTATTGATGCAAGATTTCATCCAATTTCTCCATTTCAGCCCAAAACCCATCCTAAATAGCATGTAGTCAACAAACTTCCAATTATGTGATCATACGTTTTCTCCATATCAAGTTTACACACTAAACGATTTCTATTTCTAGTAATCTACGTCTCATTTGCAGCCATCACATCTGCCTCCCACAAAAGCATGTTGACAATCCCCAATAACCTCTCCCAACACCTTGAATAATCTCCTAGCCAATACTTTAACAATTAGTTTACACATATAACCTACCAACTAATTGGTCTGAAATCTCTAAAATCATTAGCACCGCTTTTTTTAGGAATAAGAGAGATAAAAGTGGAGTTCAAAGATTTTACAAATTTCCCGGCATGATGCATCTCATTAAATATTTCCATAATATCGACTTTCAGAAGCACCCATAAAGTTTGAAGAAACTTCATATTAAAACCATCAGGACTTGGAGCTTTGTTACCATTGCAAGATTTCAAACACTCAAACACCTATTCCTCGGAAAATTTAGCCTCCAGCATCCGCCTACTATCCCCAGAAATACAATTAAAGTGCAAACCATCCAAATTAGGTCTTGTAACACAAACCTCCTCAAAAAGCTGTAAGAAATGCTCCCTGAAACCTCTCTTAGTTCAGTATTACTAGAAATTTTCTTATTATCTACCCAGACTTCTTCAATATAATTGCATCTTTGTCTGTGAGAAGCTAAAGCATGGAAATACTTAGTGTTCTGGTCCCCCTCTGCCAGCCATTTTTCTCTGGATTTTTGCCTCCACATCAATTCCTCTTCCTGCAGATACAAAGTCAATTGAAGCTTGAAAGTCCCTCTCCTACTACTTTCCTAATCATTCAACCCTACAGCTTCCTCTTTGGAGTTCAAATCATTAATTTGAGCCAAAACAGAAAAAAAATTACTTTAGTTTGCTCCCTCTCCTCCTTGCCCAAATTTTTTGACTGCATTCTTCAGAGCCTTAAGTTTGTGAACAAATCTGTCACTAGCACAACCCCGTATAACGCAATTTTTCCAAGTGTTTTCTACCAAATGGCGAAAGTTCTCATTCTTCAACCACTTGTTGTCTAACCGAAAAGGCATTGGACCCCACTGAGTCCCATCAGCCTCAATACATATGGGATAATGATCTGATGTTGGCTGAGGAAGTATTTTTTGACTAACTCCCATAAGATCAAACAGAAAGCAAGAAGAGATAAAGAATCTGTCTATTCTGGACTTACTCTTCTGATTAGACAACGTCCGTTGCCCCTTGCATAATGGTAGATCAACCATTCCTCTTCCTGCATAATGGTAGCAAGAAATGGTTTATTTGTTCTCAGGATTGGAGATGGCAGCCTGAATTCACTGTACTATGGGAAATTGCCAGAATTTGTAGTTTCCAAATGGAAGAAATAGGTAGAGTGTGTTTGTTGACAATTATGTTTGAGATTTCACCTTTCAGTTTCTTTTAGGCTTTTGAAAGCTAATTCTACTTTGTTAAGATGCTCGACTTTGAGATCTCTGTGTAGTTTATTAGCTAAATATTGACATGGCTAGGAATGTTTTAGGTATCAGCGCGAAAGGTTTAGGCTGAAGCATGGTATGCTTGATTCTTTTTCCTCTTTCTTTTCTGTAGGAAATAAAAATGCTATTCACAAATAGGTCTTCCTTCAAGGGATAGTTCTTGTTTTCTTTCCTTTGGGGATATTTATTCTGAGCATATAATGAGGGTCTTGATCATTTGAAGGAGCTTATCCTTACGTTAGGATTGATTACTTTATTCAGACTATCTTTCTGGTCTCCCTCTTTACTATGTCTTTCTTATGATTTGTTTTTGGGTTGGTTGGTACATTAGGTATCTTGCTACAAAGTACTAGCAATGGTTATCAGGAACATATGAGTTGTGGGTTGTTAGGATTCCAAGAAAAGGGGGTAGGATTTTATATCTCCCCTCCAAAAATACAAAGTGATGGAGTTTGAATTTTGATAATTTGTTATCATAGCTATTCTTTACCGGAAAAATAAGTAATTTAGTGGTTTCTCTTTGAGGGATATGAAAGAAACATGTGGGGTATCTTTATGTAGTCTGTAACTCCCTTTTTAACATATAATTTTTTTTTGAGAGAGCTACTTTTTAACATACAGTTAAATATTGAGTTTAAAGTCTTTTAAGATTTAAATCCGTTTCTCGAGATTGGTTTTTAAATTAAAGCCAATGGAGCTGTGTCATTTTCTATTCCTGAATAATAGAAGTCAAGACATATATTTTATTGGTTGAATTCTTCTTTAAGGGGCATACTTTCTTTTTACCTTGGGTGCTTGTTGGTGTCTAATTCGACATTGAGTTTGCTATTTTTTCTTTTACTTAAAATAGTGGCTGTAAGTGTTAATACATTTATGCATTATGGTGGATTTTGTTTTTGAGGGAAGTTTGTCTGGTTGATTTGGTGGTTCATAACTTTCATTGTGCTTGTTTCTTACTATCTTGCAGGTTCAGCTATTGTTGATGTTGTGATTGCTGCCTTGGAAAGATTGTGTCAAGAGTTAGAATCGAAGGAGTTAGATTTGATGTGGAAGTGCTTGTACAAGAAAATAAATGATAGTGCAACTAAAAAGTCCTTGTTGCATCTAAGTCGCTTGTTATCATTTCTTATTTCTGTGCTTAAGATTGAGAAAGGATGCAAAGTATCTGGTGAGCCACACGATAATAACTAGGCATTTTGTAATTTGATTGCTTTCCTGTGTCGCCTAGCAGGATTTGTATTATATCATTTTCTAATGATGTCAGCGACCTGATTTGAGCAGATTATGAAGTGGTGCTTGAATGTGTGGACTTCCTTGTGCGTGCATTCATTGCAGCACCTTCTGACACCATGGAGGTAGATGGTCATTTATCTAAAGTTGTTGATAAGGTTCTACGACTGATGTCATGCATTCTTGATGGGCTCCAAAGTTCTAATAATATATCAACTATCTCTGTCTGTTCATTACAATGGGCGCCTGCATTTCAGTTGAGGAACTCAAGGTACTTCCTTCATACAATAGTCTGGGTTTTTGTGTTTCATCATCAGGTAATTGATATATTAAATGTTTATGTTTCAGTTTGTTGACTTTTATTGAAGAATTAATACAGAAGGACCATTACATACTAGATGCATTTAGAGTGAATGTTTTGAGGTAATATTGGCATCTCTATTTTTTCTCTGGGGTGTTTTCTGTACTTAATTCCATCATATCCACTTCCTTCTGTTTGAATTTTTTTTGTTTGGAGTTTCAGTGCATTGAATGATTTGATAGATTCTTCAGAGAAAGAAGTCATAGGTTTGTTATTAACCTTATGTGAGAGACTGTGGGGGAATTCTCAAAGCTCCAAAATATTAGACAATACATCTGGAGGACTTTCAAGAATTCATGAGTGTTTGCAACAGGGAATTCTCAACTGGACCAGGGCAATAAAGGATATTATTGGAGGGAACAGCTTGTCCAGTCATATTGATGAAGCCAGGTTGGCTGTACTTTGGGGAATGATCAGTTGTTATCCTCATATGTTTGATGTCCAAGCTGATTCTTCTTTGCTAATTGATCTAATGGATGCACTGAATCGGTTTTTGGCAATTGAAGCTGGTAAGCATGAACTTCATCATTATGGATGTATAGAACTAGTTACTAATTGGTATATTGTATTAAAGAGCAATATGGAAATTTCAGACATGATTGGGCTGATAATTTGCTCAATCCTTGGAAGAGTTTCTTTCTACAGTTATTTGTCATAGTTTGTGTCTCTATTGCGATTACCATGTCTCTACGCCTATCAGTAATCCTACAATGATGATTCTTATTGCACCCTGCATTTTCATCAAAGTACGGCCTACTCATCCTTTGTTTTTTATTTTTTATTTTTTTCGTTAAAAGGAAGAAATATTATTAAGGAGGAGAGGGACTTACCCTTTAATTGCTACAAGCATCACTTTATGCTTTGAGATGAATCCCAATCTACTTCCCATGAAGAGGGATTCATTCTTCTCTGGCAAATAAAGTATCTGTTAGCCATACATTTGCCCTCTTCATGAGATTGCCAATTCTAATGATTCACCATCTTGTTCTGAGCTAATAGCAAATACGGGTTCTGTCGGTTAATCATCATGGTTAATAAGATTAGTTTTGTAAAATGTTTATTTATCTATATCAATTTAGCTATAGAATTGAAATTTTACTGCATATTTAATTTAAAATCATATATATATATATATATATATATTCAATTTTGGTATTGTTTCTAAAAGAAGTAGGGTAAGATATTTATAAGAAATTATAAATCTTTTTTTTGTACATGGGTTACGCCCCCTTGGTGTCTCTTTTATATTATTACTTACTTTTATCTCAAAAAAAAAAAGAAATTATAATTTAGCTCGTGACTAATATAATCAAGCCTGTGTTATGAGACAAGCATACAGTTAGGGGACAATTCTAATTTTGGACTAATTAAGTGTGGGCTATTAATGGTTACAAATGAAATTTGATATACGACTTGTTATTTTGATAAAATGCAGGATAAGAATAAATGAATACTTTCTTCCATCTCATTAACGTCTTTATTCATAACATAACTTTTATTGGCTTTTTTTAAGATGACCTTGCTGGTATCCCCAGAAGCACTTGGCAAAGCCTGTTTGGTGCTGCACTGAATTCCTTGTATAGATGCCATTTTGATAAGAATGCTGAGAATGGAGAAACAGTGAAAGTTGTGGATTTTGCCAAAGCATACAAATCATGTCCACAAGTATTATCTGCTGTTGCTGATTATTTGGATAATTTGCAAGGGTAAGTAATCTATACATTGATAATTTAGAACTTTTTTTCTGGACCTATTTTCTGTTGCTTGGGTTTGATCTGTTGCGGGTTAAAACATTAATGTTTAAATTACAGGCCTCCATTGCAAGCAGATGGCAGCATGAAAGTATATCACCCGGAGCTTAAAGCAGAGAAGGCCATGCATGCATTAGATATATTTTCTGAGAATTTGAGTCACTCAGACAGGCAGATGCGTGTTGCTACTCTAAGAATTTTATGCCAATATGAACCACTGGGAGATGATACTTTTGCTGGGCATCAGCCAGTGGAAAAGAAAATGAAAACTGAAGGTTCTCAAGCTTGTCATGCTGGCAGCAATGTATGTAGATCTATTTTTTTTTTAAATAACAACTGGAATAATATCATTAAGTATAGGCACCGAGGGTTTGCTGCCCATGTACAAAATTATTTACAAATCTGTAAGTTTCCATAGAAAGCATCATTTGACCCATAACTAAATACCAAGAGTCTGAAACCATCTTTCTCTAATTCTATCTGTACTCTCCTCCTCCGCTTCAAAATTCTCCAGTTTCTTTCCTTCCAAATGACCCGAAATATGGTAAGGGGAATCAACCCTAACTGCTTTTCCCCCTCGGCCAATCCCTTCTACAACCATAATTCATCCCTAACAGTACATGTCATCACCAACTGATAACCAAAAATTCCATTAGTCATTGACAATAAGTTATACGCAACTGGACACCCGAAAAGAATATGATTGCAGTTCTCCTCTGTCCTCCTACATAAGCAACACCAGTTGACTTGAATCCTCTCCTCATTCTAAGCTTGTCAATAGTTAAGATACATCCATCCCAAGAAAAGAATGCAATCCTAGATGGAGCCTTCATCTTCCGAAATTGTTTATGTGGAAAACTTTTATCCATGAGCTCTTTATTAGTCAAGTATCTGTAAACAGATCTTACCGTGAAACTCCCTGTTGCATTAAGTGCCCAAACCGGCTTGTCAACATCTTCACTGAACACAATTCCAGGGAGCCCGATAAACCTTCAGATTCACCAATTTTCCCATAATTGAGATTCCTCGTAACTTGTACATGCCAATCCCTTCTGCCTTCACCAATACCAAGGGCCTTTTGAGCTGACTTATCTTTATAACGAGTTATGGTATAAATCTGCAGGAAACTGTCTTTTAGTGCTCTATCTCTAAGCCACCTATCTGACCAGGACCCAAGTTTACTCCTATCTCCCACTCTCCATCACACATAACTCTGAATGCCTTTTTCCCATGTACACTCTTTTCCACATCCCTCTCCCGTGGGGATAAGCCATACGTCCAGAAAACCATCCTCTCTCTATCGTACCAAACTTCGCCCCAATAAGCCTCCTCCACAAAGAATCAGTCTCGTTCATGAACCGTCACAACCACTTCCCTTGTAGTGCCTCATTATAAAGATATGTACTCACTGCCTCTGTTGTTTGAGTTGATTCTAATTTTAGCTGTAATTTCTTTTTCCCCTGAATAACAGGTTCTTGAACTCTTCCTCTCAATAGAGGCAACCCCCCTTTCGATTTCAACAAGTAGGAAGGTTATCCTATTGATCTCTAGAGTACAGATGGACCTCTCTGCTGGAAGAATATCTGAGACATACATACCTCTTGTATTGAATGGTCTAATTGGCATATTCCATAATAGGTTTAGCTATTTATGGAATCCTGCTTGTGAGTGCCTTGGGGTTCTTATTAAGGAGCACACTGGACTTGTGTGGGATAAATTTATTGATTATTTGGGAAGATTCCAAGCCTCGTTCCTGATCTCTAATGGTCAAATGGACGGTAGTGCTGCTGCTTTGTCAGACAAGTCTATCGGTAAGTCACAATATTTTTTGCTTTTATATAAGTGTTCATTCAGAGTTATTTAACTATTTTGACGGATGCTCATCTTGCAGGAATATGGGACTTTTCTTTTACATTTATTTCCAATTTCAATTTTCTTTTGATTATCTTATTATCATTTCATAGAAATGGCAACTTGATTTAAGTGTTAAGATATGGTTTGATCAGTTGGGGTTGGAGTTAATCGTGTATCATGCATGAATTAGGAGTTTTGTTTTCTGTTTATTCCCAATTTCAGTTTTATTTGAAGTACCTTATTATGCAACTTGATTTAGGTGTTAAGATAGGTTTCTAAGTTGGGTTTGAAGTTAATTCCTACTAGTTAGTTATACTCTGTTTTCTTTTTGTTGGCTTGTTACTTGTTTCAAGTTTGGCACGTTTTAGTTCAGATATGGGTATTTTTTGGTTATTTTGAGCTGGTCATTTCTTGTTTTCCAGGACCGAGTTAATAAAATGTGATTTTTTTTTGAAGTACAATTATTACACTTCAAATTTTATATTTACAGACAGTTGA